TGTGGGCCGTATTCAGGATTCAAATGACATAGAAACAACATACCAAAGTGTGGTTACCACAGTCACAAGTGACCACATAATCCATTTGGATGTAAGTGATGTGTTGCGCAGTTCGTCCTTACCCGTTTGATCACGGTGGATGTATATGTATATCGTATATATATCCTCTAAAATCACAGGGGTCATGGCCATGGTATCCCATAAAACGCTTTATGGTCCCTGCCTGGGGGGGGCGTGAGGGTTGGATGTTATAGAGGAAAGCTGCTTGTATCCAAGAAACATATGTGTTATGTTGTGTTTTCTGGTCACTGCTCCGGCACATGGTGGCTTGAGGTTGAATGATTTTATAGAGACCTATCTGGGGTAGGGCCTGCTCACTCTATAATTGCTAGGGTGACCGCCACCATTTCATATCTATAAAATCACTGTCAAGACCCACCCCCCCTATATGGCCACAGAGATCCCATTTGTCCCAAAAACAGAAGCCAAAAAAGATGTGGCTTTAACTTCTCTTCAAGCAAACAACGTTGCACAAAGAAACAAGATGGATGCAAAGGCAAGCTAGGTTGGACTTGTATATAGAAAATTGCCTTGGCGTTTCCTTCCCAGTCCTTCCTTTTGCCTTTATTATGCAGGAGCGTTCAACTGAAGGTATACATGCCTTTGCGACCAAGCTCTACAAGCGTTCTCCCCACGCTGGGCCAAGTTGCTTGTCAGTGGAGCTGAAGTGGGACAATGTGGAGAGAATGGTGCAAAAGCAAGGACCGAAACTGAGCATGGTGAGGTGGGTGAGGGTGTGGGGTGGGATGTTTCCTGTGTTTTTGTGGGTCCATTAATATAATATAAAAATATGTAAAAAGCGTTTGATTCAAGGGCTGGGCGGCAGAAGTGATTTGTTTGCACTATATTCGCAATATTCTCCAGAGAAGCGCAAGCATTCAAAGAACGGTATCAAGGTGAAAGAGCACGTTGGAGGGCATTCACCACAGAGACGGGCGTCAATAAGAAGATAATACACAGACAATTTTGTTGCCCCATTACCATTGCAAAGGGAAGTGGCCGCTCACACCCCACAGTTCTTTGATGCCTTGACCAAGAGCCGGCCAATCATGGAGGCTATGCTTTTGGGCACAGGGCCTACAAATTTCCTTTGAAAGTCCTTCAAATAGCACTTGCCGGTAGCAGAGCCAGTATGAGTGATCATCGGATCTCTTAGTGCAGCTGACAAACGAAGTGGCCTTCAAGTGATGAAGGCGAACATAGCAGGGTCTGTAGTCTGTCGGCCCTGTAAACCAAACCTGGCCCTTGAATCAAAGAAAACATATTTAATAATCATATTCATATTGATAGTCTTTTTGCGGATGCATATTGATACTTGTTTTTTGGGGCAGGGTGAGGCAGGTGAGGATGTGGGGTGGGATGTTTCCTGTCTCTTTGTGCATCCAGCAAAGACGTGTACTTGTACCTATGGGTTTAGCAAATCGAGAATGCTTCAAGAATGAGTAAATTTTTGGTTCGTTTGAGCAATATCAATAATCACAAGGACCATATGGATCATGGCCATGGAGAAAGAAATTCCACAATTGACAGTCCTATTGAACTATTGGTTCAAGTCAAGGCTTGAGGTCGCGCGGGTGATGTCAGGGGTCAAGCCTGGGAGCTTATAATATGCATTAATCATTACAGTATCCATTCAGCGGTACTTTGTCGAGCACATAGTTGATTTAAACTTGAGGTTTAACACATGCAACTGTACTACGATACAGCTCTTTTGAACAAAGCTGTTCCAAGCACTGTCGGATTCTGTGAAGCCATGCGCCGGTTGTACTTCAAGCAGCCAGATCCACGTGTTGTTGCAGCAAGGTCACATCAAATGAACCTCCGAGGCATTTGCCGGACCCAGGAGTCAAAGTTCTCCCATGAAGTGCCTATAGGACTTTGGTAAGGCCAGAAGACAGTTTCTCCAACAGGTCTATGAAAGGCAGCGGGGACCACGCAAGTCACGGAAGCGGACATTGCCAAAGAATACAACCCAACATCAGGCTAATATGACCTCAGGAGGACGAGCTGTGGTGTGTGCAGAGCGCGTGGAAACGTTTTGTGCTGGGAACCTGGAGGGCGAGGGCTCGGACCATGACCAAGGGAATCCTTTCATGCCTCCGCCTATTTGTTTGCCAGAGCCTGGCCCAGTCGTGAACGAACAGCGCAAAGCCAATGAAGACCGCATGAGGTCAAACGCCATCAGGTTCATCTTGGGATTTGAAAAGAACTTCGTTCCAGTAGACTCTCGACCTGATTGGCAATGTTGCAGTCCTTGAATGTGGACATTGGTTGTTGCGCTCTTTGGGGTGTGAACAGAACAACCGTTTTGTATTGCTTTGTTCTGTACAGAACAACTGTTTTGTTCTGTGGGTTCCAGTGGATTCCAATGGAGTCCCTTTTCACTTAACGGCCTACGGCGGGTTGTGGGGAAACGGTTTTAGTTTGCAGGGTGGCCAGGCAAGCAGGGTGACTTCCATAATTGAACCACCATACTACCCATACCACCTTACATTCCAACTTCAACAAACACGGGGTCACGTCACTACCACAAGACTACTTCCTGTTCTGAGGGTGAACCTGAGGTCATGATGCTTTGTTGAACCTGGTGCAGGTGCAATCTTCTATTCTAGTCATTTTTGGTCCTTGAGAGATGGCCAGGTGTTCATGTGGCAAACCCCCCACGGCCCCACAGCCCCATTCTCTCAGACAAGTTCCATGTTCGTTTGGTGCATTCGGCAGGACACTCTCAGCTGTTTGAGTCTACATCAGGGACTTTGCAGCTTTCAAGGCCTGAAGCAGGCTGTGGGAAAGATGCTGGGTGCTACTCTCAACACGACTGGCACTTCCAATTTTCGGGAGTTGGCATCCTACATTTACCGAACACATTTGGCATTGCAGTGGTGAACCCAGTTAGCACTTTCTTAGGTTTCAAGTAACGGTTGTAGGAGGCAACGCAGTGGCACAGTACGCTTGGCAGCGCATTCTGCAACATGTCATACTATTCATACTTGTTAATGCCTTTTGGGACTAAACACCAGACCCAATTTTAAAATTTTGTATGTTTTTCACCATTCAAGAAAGAATAACCCATTGTGTTTTCCATCAAAAACCCTGAAAAAAGGGTGCGTTAAAGACACCGTACAAAATACTGGAAGAAGCTTTTCCAACCTGTGTGGCTGTATATATTTTGTATACACCGTACACCTACAAAGCACCTAATCTTATAGGGAGCGCAATTGCTTCAGAGCCAACTCTATTCTGAGGTTCTGCTGGACGCCGACATTAGATTTGAAATGTTGAAACATATTATATGCAGCACAAGTGTTATAAAATATAAAAACAATTCTAGGAATCAATTGAAGTAATACTAATGGTGATTAGATTAAGCTTCGGCATTGCCCCGGCGTGCCGGGAAGCTGACGTTAGATTTACAACACTGAAACAAATAAAACACATTATACAATATAGACGTATCAAGAAAAGTAAAACACATTATACAATATAGACGTATCAAAAAAGAATAAATAACCAATCCAATTGATACTAATTGTCTGGTTATGGTGATTAGATTTTGCACCCGGCACGCCGGACGCTGACATTAGATTTGAAATGTTGAAACATATTACAACACAAATTACAAAACATTGAAGAAAACAATGCTAGAAATCAATTGAATTAATACTAACGGTGATTAGATTATGCTCCGGCACTGCCCCGGCGTGCCGGGACGCTGACATGATTGACAACGCTGAAGCAAAGTACAAAACATTACTGAACACAATGCAAAGAATCAATTAACATATACGATATTGTGGTAGAGTAATTGGGTTACGGTTATGGTTGAAACAAATTACAACACATAAGAAAAAGTTAAAGAACACAATGCAAACAATCAATTGAAATAATATGTTTGGTGATTAGATTGTGCCCCGGCGCGCCGGGATGCTGAGATTAGGTTTGCAAAGTAAAACACATCAACAGTTTAACATCAGCAGTGCAATGCAGCATATTTTGCACAAAACACATATTGCATTGGCTGTGCCCCGGCACGCAGGAATCCAAATGCAATTTAGTTCAAAGGCCGACTGCTTATCTAAGGCTGCTCCAGCTACATCACATGTGGACCCAGCTGAGTTTTCAGATCTTACTTGCGATGAGCTGAGAAACAGGATCAAGGACATGGCGATGAATGATGAGAAGAAGAACCTTCCTCGGAAGAAGGCGAATTTGTTGGCCTTGTTGTGCAAGCTCGAAAGCTCACGGCGAGGCAGCCTGTGTTCACCTCGCAAAAGTGATGGATGAGGGAGAAGTGCGGCTCATGTGAAAAATAGATTTGTTTGTGCTTGTCTAGCGTCTCCAGGACTCCAGGGTACTAAATGAACAGTGTTTCTGTTTCGGCCATTTTTGTTTCTTGGCATTAGATGACTCAAGCAGTCATTGTCTCTGTTTCCTTTCAAAGGCCCAGGGCATTAACGGTAGAAGATCCATGGATCCATCATCCCCACACACGTGTATAAGATGCTCAGTGCATGCATTTATCTTTTCACAAAAACTGTAGCCAGTTTTGATACTGGAGGGAGCACAATCCAAAAACCAGGACCAAATCCATCAGTTCTTCTATCAGGGGATCCCAAAACCCTGAAGGCTTTCCTGAAAGCCAACCACCGGCCAAGGTATGGCGCTGGGGCTGCAAACTCTAGCATCAGTTGCACCAGAAAAAGTGAGTGCGCTCACAAGTGTGCAATATCACATACTATGTTCTGCAGGCATCATTCCAGGTGTTATTTCACTGGCTTCACAAGTTAGCGTATTTTCCCGACCAACTTCCGACCAACCCGGTGGGTCCACGAAATTTACAACATCAAACAGTTGTAATTTTCTGGTGGTCATGGTTGTAGTGCTTGAAGGCAACTGTCTCATGTTTTTTCCAGAAGGAGCCACTTGTTCAGCAAACTAAGGCGCCTGGTGCAGCACTAGAGGATTCTGCTGGCTCAGGCTCATCATTTGATCCTTTGATGTAGATCAGACTCGTCAGATGATTCCATCTGAACATTTTCTTTGAAAAACTAACTTCCAGTTGGCCTTTTTCGTTCATGAAAGCATCTTTCCACATCCAAGCTTTCTGCTGGCTTCTGCCATCTACAGCTTTTGCCGGTCCCCAAAAAGCCGAGAAACACGACTTCAGGTGGGGAAACACCACCGACTTCGGGGTGCCTTTGGGCGGTTGGTTCGTCGAGGAGTTCCCTCCAACACCGGCGCTTGCGCGCCAGGTCCGACGAGCCGCGGGGGAAGTCGCCAGGCGGCCGCGGCGGCGAGTGGGAGCGGGGAGCCGTGAGGGTCCGGTCTTCAGATTTGAAGACTTGGTGAGTAGAGGGCGACCTCAGAAAAGGCTTGGTTGCAGGTCAGTGGAATTTCAAAGGTTGGAAGATGGTCTCCCAGATTGAACTCCGATGATTCAGAGCTGAGAAGACTGCGATCCTAGTGGCGGATTCGCGACTCCCCAGGAATTCCAGAGAGATTTGGACCAGGCACGTGGCATGAATTTCATGTTGGTGGTGGTCGTTTGTGACTCTCACATACCGTGAAACCTAAGTGGAGCGCCATCCTGTGTGATCCATCGACATTTGGATTGTGTTGTTTAGAGATGTTTGGAGTAGGGTAATGTAATTGTAACCGCATGAGGATTGATGTACTTGGATGCATGTGTGTTTTCCTTCTTTGTCCATCGTTGCTTTTCTTTTGGGTCCGACGTGTTCCGCGACGAGCTCCTGTCGACGATCGAGCCAGGTGGAAGCCAAGTTTCGCTCCACGTTGGGAACTGAAGGGCTAACGCGGCAAAGCCTCTTGGCCGAGACTGTTGTTCAGCCAAGCAAAGGGAACAAGACGGCGGATCGCTCCGTTTTGGTATTATGGCAGATGGTTTTACAAGATGGTTTTGGTATGTGTGAGCCATGTTCGCCAGTGTGGCTCAGGATGGATGATGCTTTTGATGAAGGCCGGTTGCGCATCACAGGATGCCAAGGCGTTGCTGAAGGAGAGCGGATCCGGTCATGTTTTGCTCGTGTGGATTCTCCACAAAGCCAGAGGTGTCCGCATCACTAAGTCTCCCACCACGCGAGGGCGTCTCCAAAATCTGGCGAAGCTCATCCCGAACGATGGCGAACCTCAGGAAGAGAGGCTTCCTAAAAATTCACATATCCAACAAAATGGATCCAAGTCGTACCGAACCTCAGATACGGTGAGGACGGAGACCGTTCTTATGTTTGCCCCAAAACGGTGGGGGCCCAGTCGTACCGAACCCCCATACGGTGGCTCGCTGGATCCGTGGAGGCCCATGTCCATCCGTCCACACCCATGGCGAGGCATCGATCGACCTACTCCGACCCGATCCGAACCGTTTGTTCGAACCGGTAGGACTACGAGGATAGCCACAGCATCAGTGCCTTGTGGTGCGTGTTCGAGGACGTGTCGTTCAGCGTTTGGATCTTCCTGGACCCGACCGACCCAGTACTCTAGAAAATGGTACATGGCCCTATAAAAACAGGTACTTGTACCTATTTTCCGAGGTACTTTGAGACTCCAGGTTGACACCAACAGCTTTCAGTGTGGAGTTCCCAAAGTGGTTCTTGGGACCCACAAACAGGTCAAGCTGTGGTAAAAGGGAGGAAGGTTTTGGATGCATGTCTTCGAAGACTTGGTTCGGGGTACCAAGATCTGGTTAGTTAGTGACTCTCTGAGCGCAGCATTTCTTGGGTTGTGAACGATTCAGATGTTGCTGTTGTTCATTGCTCCAACCGCAAATTGAGGATAAATTCAATTTAAGGACAAACACCTTGTTGGCAAGCCACATTACACTGAAATGACCTCTAGTGACTCTAGTATATGGTAAAAGTGTGATAGACGAGCTAGACGACTAAAAGATCCACAAAGATCAAAGGAAAGCTAGACAAACTAACCCTTCTGTTGGGATTCTCCCCATGCCATTGCAACACCGACATCCTTGGGTGCCTCAACTTGAAGCGTAAGAAGACCAGGCGTAAGAAGCTTCTTCTACCTGCTCCGTGGCAAAGTTGCAGATCCTGAGGCGGGAAATAGAGCGCCACGTCTTCACGGATTCCACAAACATAATCCCTAGTGCTCCTTTGAGCCTCCAAACTCACCCCAACCACCTTCTCAGGAGGTAGTTGGACCGCGTGGGAGACCGATGAAGTCGTTTGGCTTGCTTTTTTGTATGTTTTCTTTTTCTCCATCCTGCGGGGAAGGAGGAGTCCCACACCCACACCGCCCACACCAAAGCAAGTGACACCACTGGATGATTAGCGGGCCGTTGGAGCAAGATTCAGCTTAAAGGACCGCTATACATGCCTTGACCATATGCTGGACAATCTGACCACTTCAAGCAACTTCAATCTACACGCCCTGAGAAAAATAATGGTTACGTGGATGTCATGGCCTCGAAAGGATGACCATGTATCGAATACCAGTCCAGTCCCAGGTGATGCCATCCACTACACCGTGATGATCTAGGGACTGTCATTCTAATTCCCTAGGGCTCCCACTCATCATCCCACGCTCGCTTCCCACGTTAGATCTTGGATCGGCGTTTCATCCAGGCCCGGCCACGTCTCACGCTTGTTCGGAAGACTCCCCATCCTCCCACATATGGCACCATGCGCCCAGGCCTCCGTGTGATGGCTCCCAGGAGGGCGCGATTCATCTCGGCGCGAGTGACTCGGAGAGGGCACTGGAACGGCAGAAAAGGAGGGGACTGGATGTAGATCCCTAGGGCTCCAACCATACTCACCAGTATCCTCAGGTTCGGTGTTTAGACCCTCCAAACTCACCCCAACCACCTTCGAAAAATGGAGGCAGTTGGAGCCCTAGGGGATGGTCATAGAGAAAATGACTCGCCTATGAGATGTTTTTGAGATTGGCATCGTTTGTGATTTGATGTATGCAATGCGTGATCTATGCTGTTTGCTTCCAACAATTGTCATGCCATTTGAGCACATGTCATGGTCATGATGCCACAACTTGGTGAGTAGGGTACAGACTCAATAAAAGTATCCTATTATTCCGTTCTTTCATCAGCAGACATTGAATCAAATTAAGAACTTGACCCAAGAGAATATGATCTCGGCCGTTGGGGCATCATGTGATTGTTGTCCTTTCCGATTTGGAGACGAGTTGACCTGTTTGCATCAATGACTGTCTTCCAAGCGCACCTGAGTGATGTCAACGTCCACATTCGCTTGAGGGCATGCTCTTCACTTCTACACTCTGGACCTTCCTCAGTCAGGGCTTCCATCACCCGCTTTCTGACACTCTCCTCAAGCATGTTTGGAAGATCTTCCAGTATCCCTCTACAGCACCTTTAAGTAAAGTGATCTTGCTGCTGCAATGTTGCCAAATCAAGACCTTGTGCGATCATGTCATTGATTTCAACAGCCCTTAGACCGACAGGATCATCCTGTTCCCGGATTCAAAGGCTTGGAGGAGGATCTTCCACCTCCTCCACTCCTCGGCCCGACCATCGATGGCTTTGGACTGTTTGGATCTCGACTCCTCCACCTGCCTGGCCCCAACGATCCTTCCGCCCCACCGTCCGTTTGGGCGCGGCACCTGAGGAACCGACGATGACACGACGTGGTGTTCACTCCTTTAGCATCCTGCAGCGCAAGCTCGGCATGGCGGACGCCTGCTGATGGATCCATGGTGGGGCCCTGGTGGTCCAATGAATGGACTCCAGAAAACCATTCGAAGAATGGTTGGGCTCGCCTTCTTTTTCCGGATTCGGATGTTGGGGTTCATCGATGTGAATGTGGAGTCTGGAACGGACCGAGGTGACTTGGTGAGCGTTCGTAAAGGCCATTGAGTTCGTCAAATCAGAACCTGCTGGCACCTTTTCATGTCAAAAACACGGCAGTGGTTGATCTGCCTTCAGAGATTCACATTGCACATATATAAATAGTATTAACTAGTACATATACATATGTTTAAACTTTTTTTGTGAGCAGTACCAAGTTGATTGATCAAAGTCGTGAGGAAATCCAACATCAGAGACCGGCTGTGCCAAAGACTGGTGGATCGAGAACAGATGATGTGCCAAAGACTTGCAGGACAAAAAGGGAGCTGAAGATCACTGGTTTGTGCGTCGCGCGCTGAAGACGTTGACACCCTTGAGGTTGGAAAAAAGCGTGAAAAATGGATCAAGGCAAGGCAAGTCCAGGAACTGCTCGTGAAACGCTTCCTGCGCACTTGGCTCCACCCCGAGCACCCACTGAATGGTTGGTGCCCAATGAAACCAGCTGGACCTCCAGGAAAGCCTCAACTGGACTCAAACCATCCATCCATCTCCATTCCGCCCTCCGGCAGCTTGCGTCCGTGATCCGCCAGTCTTCTTCAACGGCCTCTCCATTTTTGGACTTCCTGGCGATGTGTCCACCAGCTCCCGCAGGACCCCGACTGCAGTCGGTCCGGTCGGACCCCCCTCGCGCGCGAAGTCGGTCGCACGTGGCGAGTCGGGGAAGTTTGAAGACTTCTGGGGGAGTTTCCAGACCATCCCGTGGGGAAGATGTTTACCAACTTGCCATGACTTCTGAGACTATAGATCCTGAAAAGAGTTGAGTTCTCCAGAATCGCATGGATGATCGATGGAACACGGATGTAAACATCCAAGTCACACAGTCAGATGCCCGCAGGCGGGTTGTTCACCACAGAACACTCGTGGGACTCCGCCCCCCCCAAAGCAGCACTCTTCCGGTCCCTTGAAAATCAAGACAGGCGGCCCATCACTAGTGCCATCAGGGGGGTGTTCTTAATGGTTGAAGTGGTGTTTTGGACACGTTCTCAAAAGATGTCAATCATAATGAACATAGAAGATGACCATGATGAGAACAGCATTTCTACTCCCATTACTGTATGAGTCAGGAGATTTGAGCCCTTGTCCGACTTGTTTTGCAGTGGAAAAGTGTGGAAGAGTAGACTGTCCCTATGGGGATCCACATACCTTCTCAGAAGGTACTTGGACCCTCCAAACCTACATAACTGTGTCTCCAGTCACCTTCTGAGAGGGTACTTGGATACAATTGAGGTTGTGAGGTGGCCAAGACTTCCCAATCACACATGATATATGGAATTCACATATATTATGCATAATGTGAAAAATCGGGGCCATCACTGCAAGTCTCTCTTGAGCCATCCCTGCCAACTCTCGCACGCTGGCTCAAGCGGGGCTTTGGTATGAGTTTGTGCCATGTTGGGCACTTGGAGGGAGTTGGATGTGTCGGATAAGACAATGGATGCAGTCAGGGAGTCAGGGGTGTTTAATGGCGTGTGATGAAGCGCTTGGACTTAGGGTCGGTAGCCTCTTGGCAATCCTGCCAGAGATAGGCATGGGCGGAGTATTGATTTCGGTCTTTTCCCGTGTCGCTTACGGTCTCAGTGTGAGGGTCTTAATATATACTCCCTTCCAGTGAGTGGATGTGACGTTGGGGGCACCGAACCACCTCCTTCCTCCATGGAGGGCACCCACCTTTCGTTGTGCCTGGATGCACCGGCCGAGGCCGCCCAAGAAGCAGGATGTGCCGGTGCCCGAGGCCGGGCACCAGGAAGAAGCAGCCAGACGTCCTCTCAGTTGATCAACTCTCCATGACGTCCTGCCCGAGTAGGGCTGGCCCACCTCATGAAGATGGGGCAGTGGGATCATTGGGGGGGGTCGAATACCACCGGTCACCTCAGGAGATGGGGCTGTTAACATTCACCCTAAAAAACGCCATGGTCGTCCCCTCCAAACGCATGGAATTTCCTAACGGTTTTCTACGCTGCAAACCATGAGCAAACCCTTGGCACTCCATGGGGCTGGCACATGGGAATGGCACATGTGTACAGTACACATACCTGGAGCCTCAAAGTACCTCAGAAAATGGGTACAAGTACCTGTTTTTATAGGGCCGTGTTTCATTTTCTAGAGTACTTTGTACTTTGGAGGGTCCAGGTATTATCAATTGATTGGGATTGACAAGGAATTGGAAACGGGTCAATAAAGGTACACTTAAGTGTGGCTCATTACCAGTAACAGTCGGTAAAAGAGGATATCACAATTTTTGAGAAGAGACTTTACCAACCATCATCATCCACTGTGGCATGGTGGCATGGTCCCCCACCCCGCCATTTCCAGGGCGTACTCGGTGATTCATTTCCTTGGATCTTTTTCCGCTCGGGGCAGCATCCGTTTCGGGATCGTTGCGCTCCGAAGCTGCAAAAAGGACCTTTCATGAATTGGTTTAGTGCCTTTTTTGGGGGGGGATTCTTTAGCTTACTGTGAAGGAGGAAGAACATCACAGAAAATCTGAGTGAGAAGGCCTCGAGCATCAGAGAGTCTACAAACAAGTCCGGTAAGTAGGAGGGACCCTGAATCAAGATCGTATTGATTATTTGAATGTCCACTTTTTGGGTGCTTCCTTTCCTCACCAATACTTGCAGTACCAAGACAGCACAAGACCCGGCCCGTCAGTTTCATGGACCTTCTCCAGGTGGAGGATGAAGTAGACCTTCCGGAGGAGCGGCCGGAGCGCTGCGGTTGGTTAAAAGCTCCGCTCAGATGGTGCCCAACTATAGGTACTTGTGGGAGGTTCGGTCGTCCAATTCCGCAAGCGCTGAACATCTATGACGGCCATCCAGTTCTGTAGGTCAACAATCCCAAGGGCTGAACAATCGTTATGGCGGCCATCCAGTTCTGTAGGTCCAAATCCCAAGGGCTGAAGATTGTTATGGCGGCCTCCAACAAGCAACTTTGCCCCATGGTGTCCATCATTTTGCTCAGGACCATTCCATGGGAACTCTGTTGCAACATGGACATCACCTCGACCTGAAACCTCCATGATTCAGAGAGGAACCACCTGAATACAATAACCTTCCGATTTTGGCAAGCAACAGTTGGATCATTTGATCGAATTATTTCTCAAGAACACCTGCAGTCCTTCACTTCCAAGGGGGGGAACTGAATGGGAGGCAACCCAGTCCTCGGTCTTCCACCCAAAGAGCGCGTCGTTCAGAACTCGGTTCGGAACTCGGAGCTCCGTTGTCTCTCCGTTTCATTGGACCCGGTGCGAACGGAGGACTTGCTTCAGGAGCTGGGTGGTAGTGAGAGCCTCAATAGGGACACGAGGAGGTACTGCTTGGTACTGCTTGGGTGCTGCTTGGGAGAAGGGGGAAGGGGCCAGGTAGAGCTGCCTTGATTTGGAGCCTATGGAGTCCAATGACGTGATTGGTGCTGTTTAGGTTGGTTGATGTTTGTTGATTTGAATGCAGTTTCTTTTTTGACTCTTATGTCAATTCGCGGTGGTTCATGTTTAATCATGTGATATCATGTGTATAAGATTGAAATTGTTTAAGTATATGTGTGCTCACCTGTGTGATGTTTACTTGCAAAAGCTCTTTTAC